CGCTAGAACAATCTGTTCTTCATCACTAAGGATGTTTAAAGGGCTAAAACATGCACAAATCAGTAATGAATCTGAATGCTGAAAGCTGTTACCAGATGAGTAACATCAGCAAGACCAGATTTGAAACATATCACTCCAAAGCGCTGCTGCTCTTAGAAGCTAACATCCCATTTAAGTAGGTCAAGAGTCCGATTTGGAAGATTTATTCGGCAGCTAAAATACTATGGCGAACGAAGAAATGTTTACTCGGCAGCACAAATGCAGTACTAGCTTCTGGAACATCGCTTGTGAGGAGAGAGATTGCAGTAGCGAAAAGATGGATGAGATATCCATCTAACGCTGCAGGTTTTCAGATATAATGGAGCCGCGGCTTGCTCCAATGCCTAGCTCAATTCCTTCGCGCAACTATGAACAAGACAGCTTACAATTAGTTGAAAAATTTGGGATTTGAGGAGTTGTTCGCCTGTAAATACACTTTTGTGGATAACCCATATTTTAGCTTAATACTAATAACTTCAGTGATAAAATTCTAAAATTTATATAACTCATGCTAAAGATCAGTTAGGTATTAAAGAGTTCAAGGTCGATTTGTAGCGTAAAATGCAATCATCAGACATCGTGGTTGCGTATCTCGCACCCACTGTCAGGAACAACCAAAGCACCATGCTATGTGCGTTGTCTGCAGACCAAGGACCATCTACCTGTTTCTCAGCTCATAGCACTGAAAAAGTAGGAAGAATTCATCGCTAAAAAGAATTAGCGGTAAATACAAAAATTTTAAGTTTAGCTGGAACTCGAACCCTAACTAACCACATGCAAACACAAACTGCCATCCATAGCGAAAATGCTGTGTTGGTGTGCAAATGAGAGAAACAAAATTTAAAATCATTTTGACTCCTGAGTTTCGGTGTCTGTATTACGCCCACTTAAAATATCTCAGAGTATTGGCTTATGCAAATTTTCGGAAAATTGAGATCATCATCGACTTCCAAACGATGGTAGTACTAAACGTCAAACCTGATACGGTGATTGTTCAGCACCATCGACATGGCGTATTCAGGTTGGGGCACTTTTGGAATAGGCATAGGCACTTTAATCTCATCTTCTTCTTCGCCTGACGACGACGCCTCCTCCACTTTTTGACCATCTTCAGAGTACTTCAATAGGTTCAGCGGCTTCCACAAAACTACATCTGTACAAGGGATTTCCCTGAAACGATATATATAATAAATGTCAACAGTAAAACTAACCCATTTACATTTCAGGCACCGAATTTCGGAAAATGTGACTGGACTTAGATTTCAACACGTCTTTAAGCTCGTCTGAAAGTAGCACAACGTCGCGCTTGCTAGTCAGCAGCCCTTCGTCGTCCTTTTCTTCATCTTCGTCGCTGTCACTGTCAATGATCCTAAAACAAATATAATAAATGAACAGATGCAGGAATGGATGAATGAGAACGAAAGATATGTTTTTTGTCAATTAATGCAACTGTCAACCGTATGAATGTCTGCTACTTTCTTCTGCTTCCGAGGTGAATACTAGATGCTCTTCATGCGTAATATAACTGAATAAAATCAAACAGAAGCAACTCCACAGCTGCCGTCCGAAGCGTGGATAAGAAAGGAGGAGGGCTGGAG